GTTAGAGATTTCAGCATGAGCTCCTGCAGTCTGAGAACTCACGGGTGGGGGTCCTGCCTTCAAGATTATGGGTTCTGGGAATACTACCTCCCCACTTTTGTCCTAGTGTGCTTAGGAATGGTCACAGATTTATCTCCTAGTAATCTTTAATTTATTCTCATGTCTCCTTTTTGTTCTTTTAGCCTTTCAAACACCTGTGTATTTGGGATTGATTCTCTGCTATTTGAAATACCTAGAATGGGTCTATTTTCCTTTCTAGACCCTGGCTGATACCTCTTACCACAATTAGGAAAAGATGCCAGGGTATGGGGAGATTGGTGGTGGTCAGGTGGTTATCACTGGATCTGCTGACTTCAAGAACACAGCCTTAAAATTCCTCTACCTTTTCTTTCCAATTTTCCACAATTTTTTTTTGATGGCCCCTCATATTTCGAATGTGTCATTGGGTTAAAGTGGTTAAAATAACAAAACAAAGAAAAAATAATACATCCTAAGGTTGGGACTCAGTGATAATGAAGCTGTCCTGCTGTTTTCTCACATCTGTATCTCTCATCATATGAATGTACCGGAAAGGTGTTCCAGGACAAAATCAAAGTTTTGGGAAGACGGTTCCCATTTTACTTCTTCCTTCTAAATTTCTATGACTGCATTTAATGGATAAACTTAATTTTCATTCATAATGCTAATTGTTGTTGTTAAGTGCCGTTGGGTCAGTTCCAACTCACAGCGACCCTATGTAGGGTTTCCAAAGAGTGACTGGTGAGCCTGAACCACCAACCTTGTGGCTCAAACTGACCTTGCGGTCCAGAGCATTAAACCCGCAGCACCACATCAGGATGCCCATAATACAAGAGAGTCTGTGAAATGAAGTGTTCCCAGTTTTTGCGGTTAAGCAGAAGGGAACTGGAAAAGAAGCTACTTCACCAATTGTTTCTCCCCACCAGATTTAATGGAACCCTGGTAGGGTAGTGATTTATGAGCTGGGCTGCTAACAGCAAAGTTAGTAGTTCGAATCTATCAACCGATCTGCAGGAGAAAGATGAGGCTTTCTGCTCCTGTAAAGATTTACAGCCGTGGGAATCCTATACAGGGTCACTGTGAGTCAGAACTGACTTGATGGTACACCACCCACCCCCACCCCACCCCACTGAGCAAGAGGCTCCCACAACTTTACCTTCTGCAGTCTGGATGCATGGGTGGGCTGAGTGCCTGATTAAGGGGCCTGAGTAAAGGATTAGGGTGAGTGTAGGTTGACTGAGAAGCTGAGGTAAGTTTGAGCAAATGCAGGTAGATTGGAAGGTCATCAGTGCATGAGAAAGTTGCTGGATGGATGAGAAGATAAATGTATGTGATTATCCTCATAAGAAGCCCTGCCTCCCCTGAGCGAAGGGGTCAGTCAGCCCTGAAGTTTTGCCCCAAATAAATAATACAGGAATAGCCAGAATATGTGGGTCTAACATTTTACTTTTTCTTCACATCTTATTAACAACCTATTAATGATGTCATGAACGCAGGATTTTAAAGTGCCATCTGAGGCTGGCCATCCGGTCAACCTTTAATTATCTGATTTCTGTATGCCCTCCACTTGTCCTAGGCAATCAATGACTGTATCATCTAGAAATACCTTTGGCTGCAAGAAACAGAAATTGTGTGGGGACCGCTGACCTCCTTTAACTTCAGGAGGGGGAAGGGAGAGAAACACCATCAGCACCAATAGCCCATGCTGATGGTTATGAGGTCAGACATACTTCCACCCTCCAACCTTTTTACCAGTTCTGACATCATCTGTCCCTCCATGGCACTGTCTACTTCTCTGTTGGATTCCATAATTCATTGCAATAACCACACAAAACTCACAGGCCAAGCTTACAGTTATGGTGGTTATTAGGGAAGCAATAGGTTACAATTCAGGAACAGGAACAACTCAGGATACAGTTACTTGGTCAGGACAGTTTCTCAGCTGTCCCTGCACTTTGTCTCTCAGTCACTTTGTCTTGCTCAAGTAAGCCTTATGAATCTCTTTAGCGCTGCCAATAAGTGCCCAAGGGCATCCTACTCCACCATCAAGCCTCCTACCTGAAGGCATTCAACTCTCTCACAATGATGGAGTGAGAAAGCCAAGGGCCTTGAGCTAGAAGGCTTGCTGAATTTAATAGTAGAGTTAAAAGAGACTATTCTGAATGAAGAACTGTATCCTGAGCATTTCTGATTCAGAATTCTAACTAGTTACTCCCCTAGTAAACCCTGTAACTGTGAATATTGTCTATGAGTTCTGTGTGGCCATTGTAACAAATGATGGAACCCAGTGGAGAAGTAGAGAGTGACGTAGAAAGGACAGTTGGTGTCAGAATTGGTGAAAAGGTAGATGGGGTGGAAGCATGTCTGAGCTTCGCCTCAAAGGAATCAGGATTGGGTTGATACTAATGATGGTTCTCTTTCCATCTTGTGAAGTCAGAGGAGTTCCGATGACGCAGCTCTGTTGCTTGGTAAAGTAGAGGGTAAGTGAAAGAGACGGAAGGCCCTCAACTAGATGGATTGACACAGTGGTTGTAACAATGGGTTCCAACATAGGAACAATTGTGAGAATGGTGCAGGTTGGGGCCGGGTTATATTGGTTGCTGTGAGTCAGAACTGATTTGACAGTATGTAACAATAACAATAACATAGTGGTTACGAATTGGGCAGCTAACCTCAGGGTCAGCAGTTTGAAACTACCAGCTGTTCTGTGGGAGAAAGATGAGGCTTTCTGCTCCTGTAAAGATTTATAGCCTCAGAAACCCTGTACAGGGTTGCTATGAGATGGAACCGACTCCATGGCACATAACAACAACAACAACAACAATAATAAAAGTTTTCACACTTAGATTCTTGATCCATTTTAAGGTGGTAGAAATCTAATTTTCCTAATACCATTTATTAAAGAATCTCTTCCTTCCCTAAGAAATGAATTTGGCATCCTTGAGGAAAATCAATTGAATATAAATGCATGAATTTATTTCTGGACTCTCTATTCTATTCCATTGGTCTATATGTTATTATACTAGTACTGGAACACTGGTGTGGTGTTGCAAGAATAACACTGAAAGGCCAACCACAGTCAAAATGAGGAGGGTAAGGTGGAATCCCCACTGAATAGTTTCCCTCTTCTTGTCCAGATAGGTCTGGTGAAAGAAAATAGGGGAGGATGAAGATAGGATTCTTTTGATTCAATAGTGAGTAATTGGTATCATGACAAATTGCCATGGTCACAACCGTAAAGGTAGAAGATGTGAAACAAAAAGGGAGAGTAGTTAATCTTTCATTCCAGGAACAGAGGATCCTAAGACCATCAAGAGGGAAGAGAATGAGCACAGTGTGGGATCCTAACCAGAGACACAGCGACACCAGAGATGGAAGCAGAGGCGATGACATAGAAAGAGAAAGAGCAGGTGAGGACTCTAGATCCATGGAATGAGAAAGGCCGTATGCCTGTGGCAGGAGGTTGTCTTGCAAAATGTGCCCTTTGGTAATTTAAACGGATATATATTTTCTGTGTGTTTTGTGTACATCAAAAGAAATGGGGGTGGTGGTGGATAGAGGTAAATACTGTTAAGCGATAGTACATAAAGGGGATTGTAATCATTGCAATGAAACAAAATATGATTGGTTGAGCGTAAAAAGGATGATCTGCCCTGTAAACGATCACTGGATTCACAATAAAAGCTGTAAAAAAAACCAAACAAGCAAAAAAAGAAAGATCAGTGGCTCAAACCCACCAGCCATTCCTCAGAAATGTTGTCTGAGTTGACTCGATTGCACTTAACAACGGAGTCATTTGTGGTTGTGTGCCATTGAGTTGGTTCTGACTTACAGTGATCCTGTTCCTGAGGCAGTAAAACTTGAAGGGAGCAGAAATCCTCATCTTTCTCCAGCAGAATGGCTGGTAGATTTAAACTACTGATCTTGTGGTTGGCAGCCCAGTTCGTAATCCATTATGTTACCAGGACCCTTGTACTAGTAATTAGTCTATTTTAATTACTGTGGCTTTATAGAATGTTTTGAAATCAGAAAGTATAAGTACTCAGGCATTTTTATTTGAAGGAAACTAAAGGTCAGAAGAGGTAAGTATATTCACAAAGGCCAGTTGGCAGATTTAGTGTCCCATGTGGGTACCAAATTCAGGTCTGAGTCCAAAAACAGGTTCCCTAACTCCACACTACTACTACAAAATGATCAACTAGAGAGCTCCCACTAGTAAATATAATACCAGTATTAACTGAAAATAAATTAACACTAAGAAGAAACAGATTAACATCACAGGTACACAGTTTACAAAAAGCATACATAAGTAACAGAATCCAATTTTGGCATCTAAAACTTCCAAATCCCTTAGGGACGGAGGCCTCCTCATACAGTGGGGATGCAAGAGTTACAGATTCATAGAATCTCATACTAGGGCATTGAGGGTTTAAATCCGGGCTAGGGATCTGTCCTGGTAAGAATGGCAACAAGAGAATTGGGGACTAGTCCTTGATCACTGTGGAGGAAGGTCAACAACCAGAGTGGGTACAGGACTTAAGTGTCCCAGCCAGGCTTTGGTCCCTGGGAGACTTGGGCAATGCGACCATGGAAATGCCAAAGCTTCCAGGGACCGTTGTTGTTGTTGTTGTTGTTGTTAAGAACCGTGGAGTAGGTTCGACTCATACTGACACTACACAGAGTTTCCGAGGCTGCAAATCTTTACGGGAGCAGAAAGTCACATCTTTCTCCCGAGGAACAGCTGGTAGTTTCGAACTACCGAACTTGAGGCTAGCAGCCTGAATCTGTCCCCTAAAAGCGCCAATCTCAGAGGCATCTGTTGTACCAAACACACGTGATCCAAGGCGAAGGCCGGCCAATGGAGATGAAGACCTTCTCTAACCTCGACTGCCCATTGGTTGAAAATGGGGAAATCGAGGCCGCGTTCCAAGCAGCCAAAGTTGTTGACAGTTTTGCGTCCCAGAGAGAGCTGGGGCCCGAGATCAGACGCAAGGCTCCGAATGCGCCACCAGTCTGAGATCCCGCAGGAGCAGGCGCAGAAGAGTCAGGATGACGGCGGCTTCTCGGCACCGAGGCGATTCCTGGAACCCGGGAAGGAGGCAGAGCGGAGCTGAGTCTGGATTTTCTTTCCCGAGAAACTCCCCACCTCTCCTAGCCTCAGCTCCCAACCCGCTGTGCTGAGCACGGTCCTCCCTGCAGTCTAACCACTTTCTCGCGGGCTCCACTCACATCTCTCCGTGCTTTGTGGCGCCTCCTTGGTGGTCCAAGGGACTTCCTTGAGGAGCCAGGCCGAAACAGCTCTAGCTAGATGTGGGTTAGGGGAGTCAATGAGGAATCCGAGGAGCAGAGGTTCCCCTCGGAATCCGCAGCCCCTTTCTGTTTGGGGGGACCCTGAGAAGGTGTGACTTGGCTGGCACCAGGTTTTCCGCTAAGCGGGACGGATTCACAAATCAGGAGGGTCTCTCCCCGAGGGCCGGGAGTCACTCACACAGGTCCCCACGTCGCGCCTCGCGGCTGCCAGCAGTTGCAGAGTCGGCCCAGTCCCGGGGAGCAGCTCCGAGTTCCGCTGGCTGCTCAACACCAACTGGGCGTCCGCGAGATCGCGCGCCACCAGGCGGAGGCGCGCGCACGACTGCGGGGACCGGGCTGCAGTTAGAGGGGGACCTCGAGCCCGGGCCCCGCCTCCCTCCAGGGACCCGGGCCTCACCCCGGGCTTGGGCAGCTCCTTCCACGGGCGAAAAGAGCAGTTGCGTGGTCTCCAGCTCAGTGTCTCTTCCTCCTGGGGACAAGGGTCGGATGAGGCTGGGCCCCCTGAGCGCTGCCGCATCTCGTCCTCCTGGACTTGAGGCCCGACCGTGGACCCACCCAGGGAGCACTCCGGGGCAGGAGTGAGGCTGAGCTGCACCCCGTGCTCCCCTTGCCCATCCCTGCTCCCCCCGAGTCTTTCCCGGGAACTCTCTGACTTGGGCTGAGTTTGTGAGGATGGTGTGAGCGGCAGGAAGCTCTTCTGGTCAGAATCCTGGAACCTGAACAGCGAGATGC